TGATTTGAGAGGGCAAAATCATCTGAATGGCTCCACTGGCATTGTTTCCTCCAGTGTAACGGCGGCTTGGAAACACTCCACAGCTTCTTGCATCGACGATACAGATCCTTCTGCTTTGAACATCTTTCCAAGATTGTGCCAAGCCGAGTGGTTCAGCCTATCAATCCTAAGAGCCTCCATTAGAAAGCTTCTTACAACTGCTGTGCTTGATCGGTTCCCGAGCTCCAGTAGGATCTCAGCCTTCGATATTAGGCTTGGGACGTGCATCGGATCGATGTCTAGAGCAGTTGAGAACGCCTCCATTGCTTCTTCTAATTGGTCCTGTCTCTTGTACAGTACACCTGCCAGTTGGTATAAATAAGCTGTCAATGTTAAAACCTTGAACGTTTCTAATTTTCTTACGTTTGCGTTGCGTTTACAAATAATAAAGGTTGTCAACTCATTTGGCAAAAAAGTACACACTACATGTAAACGCAAACACGGACAAACAATCAAGGCATAAATCTCAAGAAAGCGTATTACCTTCAGTGTGGTATCGAGCAGGAACATATGGTTCGATGAGTCTTGATCTCGAGAGACATGTCTCTGCGTCACGCCATTGTGAGAGGTTTATGTAGACATGAGCTAGATCATGCCACGTCCCAAGTTCCAGACTCCTCAATCCCTCTACATATCCCTGTAATGAACAGAACTGTTTCAGGGTTTAATTCTTAGCAACTGGAAAATGTAGAGGAGAAAAATTACAACATACGAAAAATTACCTTTGGCAGATTCTTTGCAGAACTGAAGCTTTTGCTCTGAACCTGAAGGAGTGCGAGAAGTTGTGTGTAAGTCTTAATCGCATCCTTCACTTCTCCTTTAGCTAAACGAAGTTTTGCTTTCAAACGCAACAGCTTCCCCTGTTCCCATTTCCCTGTTTCATTAAGCGCCGCATCCACAATGGTCTCAGCGTCTGAAAACCGCTTCTGCGCAGATAAAACCCGAGCCAAAAGCAACCATACTTCAAGATCCGACTCTGCTCCAAGTTTCAATGCCTGTTTAGCGTATGCTAACGCGGAATCCAGCTTCCTCTGCTCTGCATTCTCTAACGCAAGACGGTGCACAACTCCTGGGTCTGTCATATCCGCAGATTCCAGCGCCTGAATTCCCTCGGATTGCCTAGCTATCCGCTCGGTCTCAGTAACCGCCATTCTCGAGCTTTCTGTGAGCGTAATCCCTAAAACGAGACGTACTGCTCCATCTAGTTGACTGCATTCACTTCCCAAGTTTCCGATTGCTTTGCGGGCATAATCTAACCCTTCCTCAGCAAGACCTGATCTCTCTCCGCATATCTTGGAAGCCATCAGCAAACCCAATATTCGGTTTGGATCCTCCCGTTCTGAAAATAGCTTCCTCAGTAAACCGAGCGCAACAAGACCTTCTCCTGCGCCGTGGTAACACAGAGACAGAGTATAATAAAGTTCTCTCTGATCCAAGATTTCGGGGCTAAGCTCTTCGAGTTGCTTAGCCAGAGAGGTTAGATCGCCTGCAACTGTAAGAGCGAACGAGAGATGGTCCAAGATCGCCGCGTCCCACGTGATTCTTTTCTGATTAATTTTCCTCAGAAGTAACATCAGAAGAAGAATAGCTTCTTCCACATTGTTCCTTGGAATGAACGAGCCCTCGGTCTGAGAACGCAGGTTAGGTGGCACCGCTTCTTCCCCAGAGTAGAGGAGAAACACGGCATACTCTTTCTGGATTCTCGCCGTGGTTTCTGGATCGAGTTTCCAGTGATTGAGTAGCGCTCGTCTATAGGACAAAATGGCATCACGCGGCGAATCAGCAAGTTTCCACAGCTGGGGAAGCAGCTCGACTGCTTTTGTCAGCGTCTCCTGCAGTTTAATATCACCAGTGGCATTTTCCGACGCACCTTCCGATAAAGAAGCCTCAACTATATCAAGAATAACTCTGCAAGACTGTGCAGCTTCTGCAAGAAGAATAACCAGATATTTCAGTTAAGAAGCCTAATAAAATCGACATACGAGCAATATAAGAAGTTTGTTGTACCTTGGAACCTTCCGAGACGCTGAAGAGATTTCGCTTTGAGAAAAATGGCTTCGAAAAGCAAACTAACAGCATGTTTAGACATTGGAGGCGGAGGAGCAGAAGCAAGGCCGCTTTTAGACCGCCTTCTATGTTTTTTTTCTTCTTTTGCGGTTAGAGCGGTTTTCATCTTTATTGTGATCCCGTTGATATCTATCCCTTCAAAGACTCGCAATGCCGCCTCTATATTTCCTTTCTGATACTCAATTCTTCCCAAAAGCGCTCTCGCCTCCTGAAACAACAACAGCAATAACACATAACTCGGATTTTCTCGATCAGCAAAGCCAAAGGTCATGGGTGATGTAGAAAATCAAACCTCATAGTTCAATGAACTGGTCTCACGCAGAGATAACTCGGCTTCTTCGATGTTCCCGTTATCTAGTTTCTTAGCATTCTCGCTCTCTGAAGCTGACAAAGTTGAACTTACATTGTAGTCTCTGCCTACTCCACGCTCGGATTGCTTATCTTCTTCCTCTCTAAGTCTCATTTGTTCACCAGAACACAAACACTTCATTCTGATCTTCCTTAAACTCTGTCTTAGTCTGCGTAAATGCAACTTCTCGCGCCTAGTCTCGTTGCTCTTCATAGCTTCTCAAAATGATGGATGATCTTCAGAAAGTATCATTAAGAAGACATATTAGATCGAAACTAGACAGAGGTTTGATATTTTGGAATCAAACATAAGAGAAACAGAGAAATAAAAACATTCACATTAATGCAGTATGATTCAGGACAAAGTCAGAAGTTTATGATCAAAATCTTGATGATCGAATTCCTCAAAATCAACGCCCAAAACTCAAATCTTTGACCGAAATTAAAGAATGGTTTCCGATAAATGACTTGTAAACTAAAAAGGCGAGAAAATCGAGGACTTTTGGGGGTTCTAACTTGAGTTCAGTGTCCAAAAAAGCTCGGAATTTTACAAGGAAATTGGGATAAGAATCGACAATATAACAATGAAAAACCCTAAATTAGATGGAGAATCGCATACCCAATTGAACTAGTAAGGACGATCAAAAA